AAAAAAAAAAAAAAAAGGTGAGGAGCCCCACGGCAGCCCCTCCAAAGCCGGACCCCAGCACACCGGTTGACGCCATAGGATTCAGGCCATTGTTTGTCTGCCCACCTTCAGCGTCATCAGCCCCTCCGCGACTCCCGTTGTCTTTTTCCCTCCGTTTCTCTCCCAGCCATCCATTCTTCGTGGACATTCGTCTTGGTGACTATCTCTTATAATCAGGTAAGCCTTTCTCGGGTCGAGCTCAATCATTCTATGGTTCTTCTTTTCTCGATTCCTTGCTGTTGAGAGCTTCCCCGCACTGACACCAGCTATCTCTGCTGTAGAATTTCAAGAAGCAAAAGCCATCACCATGCCGGCTTTCTCACAGGCTACCGATCTCTCCGCCTGGAAGGAGCTCCAGGAGCACCACACTGCTGTTGGTCGTAACATTGTCCTGAAGGAGGCTTTCGAGAAGGACCCTCAGCGCTTCGAGAAGTTCAGCCGTACCTTCAAGAACACTGTGGACAACTCGGATATCCTCTTCGATTTCTCTAAGAACTTCCTCACCGAGGAGACCCTCTCCCTTCTGGTCAAGCTGGCTAAGGAGGCCAATGTCGAGGAGCTCCGCGATGCTATGTTCAAGGGTGAGCACATCAACTTCACTGAGGATCGTGCTGTCTACCACGCTGCTCTCCGCAATGTCTCCAATGAGCCTATGCAGGTCGATGGCAAGAGCGTTGTCGAGGATGTGAACTCCGTGCTGGAGCATATGAAGGAGTTCTCCGAGCAAGTCCGCAGTGGTGAGTGGAAGGGTTACACTGGCAAGAAGATTGACACCATTATCAACATTGGTATCGGTGGTTCTGATCTGTAAGTTTTCGCCCTGAAGCTTCAAAGCCCCAGAAGTCACTAACAGCTGTTATAGTGGTCCAGTTATGGTCACCGAGGCCCTCAAGCCATATGGTGCTCCGGGCATGAAACTGCACTTTGTCTCCAACATTGATGGAACTCACATTGCCGAGGCTCTCAAGGACTCCAACCCTGAAACTACCCTCTTCCTGATCGCTTCCAAGACCTTCACCACTGCAGAGACCACTACCAACGCGAACAGCGCCAAGAAGTGGTTCCTCGAAACTGCCAAGGATGAATCTCATATCGCCAAGCACTTTGTTGCCCTTTCCACCAACGAGGCCGAGGTCACCAAGTTTGGCATTGACAAGAAGAACATGTTCGGCTTCGAATCCTGGGTGGGTGGTCGCTACTCCGTCTGGAGCGCCATCGGTCTCTCCGTTGCCCTCTACATCGGTTACGACAACTTCCACCAGTTCTTGGCTGGTGCCCAAGCCATGGACAAGCACTTCCGCGAAGCTCCCTTGGAGCAGAACATTCCCGCCATTGGCGGTTTGTTGAGTGTGTGGTACAGTGACTTCTTCGGTGCCCAGACTCACCTGGTTGCGCCTTTCGATCAGTACCTGCACCGGTTCCCCGCCTACCTGCAGCAGCTCTCCATGGAGAGCAACGGCAAGGCCATTACCCGCTCTGGTGAATACGTCAAGTACACCACCGGCCCCATCCTGTTTGGCGAGCCTGCCACCAACGCCCAGCACAGCTTCTTCCAGTTGCTCCACCAGGGCACCAAGCTTATCCCGTCGGACTTTATCATGGCTGCTGAGTCCCACAACCCTGTTGAGGGTGGCAAGCACCAGCGCATGCTTGCATCCAACTTCCTTGCTCAGTCTGAGGCCTTGATGGTCGGTAAGACCCCCGAGCAGGTCAAGACTGAAGGTGCCCCCGACAACTTGGTCCCCCACAAGACCTTCCTTGGAAACCGCCCCACCACTTCTATTCTGGCTCAGAAGATCACTCCCTCCACTCTTGGAGCTTTGATCGCATACTACGAGCACCTCACCTTCACTGAGGGTGCTGTCTGGAACATCAACTCCTTCGATCAGTGGGGTGTGGAGCTGGGCAAGGTTCTTGCCAAGAAGATCCAGCAGGAGCTGGAGACCTCTGGCGCTGGCGCTGGTCACGATGCTTCAACCAGTGGTCTGCTGGCCGCCTTCAAGCAGAAGGCCAATCTGGCATAGGTGTTGAGACAAAAGGAGTATAATATTTCCATATTGATGAGGACATGAAGAGTCACCTTTCTGTTAATTAGTCACATCCCATTGAATGAGACATGTGTAGTAATTTTCAAAAATATTCGCCTCTTTTTTAAATCTATGATTTAAAAATGGGATCAATTGTTGCGGTCAAAAGAGATAGAGAAGGAGACGGTGTAGCTTATTTATTGCATGGAGCCGGAACTTGTTTTCCAAAGTTGGCAAGATTGGCCCAAGTCGGCCTTAGTTCCCTTGGATGTGCGGCTCGCCACCGTGTCCCTTCTCTGCAACTTTTCGACTCGACATCATAAAGCGAGCCTATCCGCCTAGCCGGCGGGCTATGAGTGTTTAACATGCCATTTGTAAAGGGTGGACTTGCTCAATTGTTCAATGCGGTCTCCTATTATGGACTGATCTCATCTTTGGCGGTGCAGGTTGCTGCAGGAGGCAACTCGGCGAGTGCCTCTCAAGGTGGATATTTTCACGGACAGCCCATGCCGGTTACATGCCTGAATCGGACAATGTGAGTGTGAACAATGATAATAAGTAATTCCGAACCTAGTGTGGAGGAGACTTAAGTTCGTGTGTTTTGGTGCGATATGACTTGTCGATAGATGCTAACGCTTACTCCGGTTTTTAGTGACTCCGGCGAACATGTAATGCTTCCCCGCGCTGATTGAGGATTTCAATCGATTGCCTGTCTAGCGCTAACGTTAAATCTCTAGATTACCGACAGTCTCGGCAAACTCCAATACATTCCATTCCCAACCTGCAAGGAGACCTCCCTCCCCCTCGCCCTTCGTTACGGTGTTACGGAGACAGTTAATTGCACCATTGACAACGTTTCCGATGAGCTTTACCACCTCCTTGAGTATTATGTCCACTCTGATGTGCCGATGAACTGCCGCGTGCCTACGGCACCCCTCTTGCCGCCCACATCTTCGCGTTCGGATGACAAGGCACATGAAGGCGAGGCCGTAGGCACCGAGCTTTCTGCTCTTGGTGAGGAAGGCCCTCCGTATACTCCAATTACCTTTGCGCTGCAGGGGACGTTGCAGCGCAGTCATCTTCATATCTGGACAGATATGAATGTGCTCATGCACAACATCGTCTCGACGCCAAAGAAGAATAAACGGAAGGCCAAGAAAGCAGCGCCGGGATATGCTGTGGCTGGTACTGCATACTCGGTTCCTGAGTTCGAATTGTCCTTTCTCAATGGCAAGAAGAAGGTTTCCGATGAGGAGAAGGAGGCAGCTGCAGTGGCCGAGGCTGCTCGTGAGCCTTGGACAGCGGGGCATGGCACGAAAGTCGTTCGTGAGCAGCCTCTCACCTTCACTTTTCATGTGAGTTGGGTTGAAGGTGGAGGAGGCATCGGATGGCCAGCCCGGGGGTCTGCTGCTAGCGAGTTGTCGGGCGGAACAGGTTTCTTCTCGAAGCTGTTTTTCTTCGTTCTAGCTGCATCATTGGGAGCAGCCATGGCCTTGTATTGGGAACGGACTCGGCGACGGGGCTGGCGAGGCGATGGGATTCTCGGTATTCCATCTCGGGGAAAGGGGTCGGTTGGCGTTATGTATGGGAATGGCGGAAAATCAAATGGTTATGGGGGGTATTCCGCCAGCAACGTCTCGATGACAGGGAACGGAGGAGGGTATGGGTACGGGGGGTTCACAGCTGGGAAGAAAGATTAGACTGCGGTAGATATAGACGTATCTAGTACTGACAGTAACTGGATAAAGATCCCATTCTGATTGTAGCCAGCTAACTCCGAGTACTAATCAAGTGACATAGTATACATGACAGAAAGAACATCCACTGCAGGTGAGCAGGATAGCAGGCGACCGCCTTTCGACCTCAACGATGGCGACCTTTGCAATCCCATTTTATATACACCCCCATACCAGCCGTAATGATACACCATTAAAGACTAAACGCAATTACCATCCCTGAGCTCTCATCTTCTCGATCCGACTAACAGTCTTCTGGAAAGAGAACTTGAACAGCTTCCGCCACCTTTCCATCCTCAAGTTCTTCCTCACTTGTCCCCGTCTGACGTGGAACTTTTGACCATTGGCCTGGTACCGGACCCTATTCGCTGTGCAGGTCGCCTGCAATATCCTCAGCGCGGAGGCCAAATCTGTGCCCTTCTCCGGCTCAACATGCACCTGACGACCAAGAGTAGGTCCCAGCTTCAGCTCCACCCGTCGCACGGGGTTCCGGTAGTTTTCTGTTTCCGCGGACATGCCGACCGCGCGGGAGAGCGAGAGGGGGTCTTCGGAAGGACGGTTCCGCAGTGAGCCATCGGCAGCGGATTCGCGATTGTTGATGTTTAGTTTTGAAAGGATTTCGTCGAAGTCGGAGGGGGCTTGCGTTGCGGTCTGGGTCTGAGTCTTCGTGGGTTCCGAAGGTTTGCTCGCATAACTGCGGACGGAGGATCTGTTCATGAATTGGGTCGCAAGGAGACCTGGTTGTTGCTTGTAGAGAAGAGATGTCGGCCTCGAACGGAGGCAGCGGGTTAGGGAGCGCATCTCCATTGTGATTGAGGTGTCGAGGTGAGGCTTTTCACGTGGAATTAAAAGGATCTCTCAGTTCCGGTCTCCTCGATGAGCCTTCTCGAGTTTTCAGGGATCGTAATGGCGGTAATGGAGCCGGTTGAGTTGCGGTGTTGAAATCTCCGGATGCTTTAGCTCCAAATTTCCAGATCGGAATCTGTGCCCACGTGACCCGGTATTATGTTACATACTTCTACACAGCGGCGGTCTTTTTCTTCTGGGATTTCACTATATTAGAATTTCCTCCTCTTGGGAACTGATATCGGTCGTTGCAGTTGCATCATAGATACTTCTGGCTTCATTAGATCTAAAAATTCTAGACTCCTCGGTCACCTACTATTTACAATGTCCTCCATCACCATCGCAACTCTTCCCCACATGAGTCGGGATGCCCTCTCAGCCTTACTTCTTTCCACCAGTACTCCCAGTAAACTGGCTATCGTCGATGTTCGGGACTCTGGTCCGTAATACTTCTCAGATAATTTCATACCCCTATCTACGTCCTATAATCTAACCAATAAAACCAGACCACGTCGGCGGCCACATCTTCTCCTCAACCTGGGTCCCAAGCTCTTCACTCGACGTCCGTCTGCCCGAGCTCATCCGCACGCTGAAGGACAAAGAAAAGGTCGTGTTCCACTGTGCCCTCAGCCAACAGCGTGGCCCATCCGCTGCGCTGCGCTATGCCCGCGAACGGGAACGTGTTTTGGGCGCTGAGGAGAGCCAGAAGCAGGAAGTCTTTGTGTTGGAGGGTGGGTTTGTACAATGGCAGGAGAAGTATGGCAAGGATACGAGGTTGACGGAGGCGTATGTGGAGGATATTTGGCAGGAGTATTGAGTTGTTTGACTCTGGGGCACCTAGCTTGGGCTACTTTTTTTTTTTTTCTTTTTTCTTTTTATTCCCTTGTTTTATTTTTATGAATGGTTAGAGTTGTGCATGGGAGATACCCGGTTAGAGATTCAAAATAGATCGGCTTGGTTTTGTTTGTTGGGGTTGGCGTAGATGACATAGAGTGTCGAGTTCTCGTGTTTGTTTCCTTGTCTTTGTTTTCTCTCATCCTCTTTGTTGGTTATGCAAAGATCAAGTCTTGTTATGTATGCCTAAAGCATATTAACTACATGTTCGCATTACTGCAAAGCCAGTGGGAGAACACCATGTGGATTTGAACTGATAACAACGGGATACAGAGTGTGGGGGGAGCTGCACAGTCAATTGCATTGCATGTCTTGCTGTCTGTTGGCCGATGGTGTGCCAAGTGGCATAAATAAGTATGAGAACTGTTGGCTTTCTCTCTCTCTCTCTCTCTCTCTCACTAATGAATAAATGTGATGTGTCTTAGCCCGTGACAGGGATCCAATTCCAACGGCGATCATGTGGTCCAAACTCCCAAGACTGCGGAGTAATCGACAACTGACCAACAGACCTCCTCCTCCATTCAATAATAATCAGGCATGTCTAGGGGATCATACGTCGCTAAAAAGATACCGACATATTCCAGTTGCCGCCAGCCTGCTGCGGCAGCGCATGAGAGAAATGCATGTCAGCCAATGGCCTCCTGCTAGTACAATGCATTTGCGAACCGTGCTTGCGTGTGAATGAGGCTGGGGTGGGGTAAAAGACAGGTATAAAAGCGCTTCTTTGCCCATTCGAGTCCGGAATGATTTGTCGTCCAAGTAAGATTTATATTTAGAGTTGGTCGCACGCCAATACTAGTTGGAATTTCTTCTCTTTGTCTCTTAAGACATGGCCCTCAATGAAAACCCATCGTTGGCGAACCAGTCGGCACCGGCCAAAAAGATCAGATGTTTACGCTGTAAAAAGGATACCTTCAAGTCTGCTATAGGGCTTGCAAAACATCAAGATGCCCTAGGTCACCACCACGTTGTTTGTCCCGTATGCAACAAGGAGTTTGGCACCGAGAAAGGCCGGGATGATCACCAAAGATCATCCCACGACCGACGCCGGGCATCAAGGAGGAAGAAGAAGAAGAAGAAGGAGGAGGAGGCTATTCCTAACTTAGTGCCCTCCGCACAAGGCTCTTCTACGCAGCAAGAACAACAGCAGGGTAATCAACAAGTGCAGTATCAGGAGCAACTGCAGCAAGAAGAAGAACCACAACAACAACACGTCCAGTTGTTCGTTGAGAAATGTGTAGAGAAGACAGCTATCGGTAGGGCATAGTATTCTTAGATACGCTAGGTGAAAGCCGCTAATCGCAATCAGCTTTCTCCCATACTAGCAGTAGTACCACACTACACGAACATTTGGAGAATACTGAACCTGTTAGTGGCTTTCTGAATGAAGTGCGACTATACTATAACGGTAACTTCTTTATGACCCTCACTCCTGCAGAACAAGAACTTGTATACGCGGATCTTCTCACAAAGTGTCACTCGCCTGTTCGTCTTCATAAGCAGGGTTATACCATGGCAAGTCAGGCACAAGATAATCAGGCGAATCCGAAGAAAGCTACTGTTGCAAGAAATCGCTTTCTGGAAACGCCCATATTGAACCTGTACGGCACGAGAAGAGCCGTCGTCCTTGATTGCGAAATGGTTCAGGTTAGAAGATGGCAAAGAGAAGTCGCCTTTCTTAGCGCCGTTGACTTCCTCACCGGGGAAGTTCTCATTAACAACTACGTCCGGCCGACGGGAAAGGTGACTGACTGGACGACTAGGATCAGCGGCATAACGCCAGCCACAATGGCCGAGGCTGTAGCAAGAGGGCAAGCACTTGATGGATGGCAGTCCGCGCGACAGGAACTATACAAATACATTGATGCTCAAACCGTCCTCATTGGTCACTCCCTTAATCATGACCTGGACGTCCTCGGGATATACCACTCGCGAGTTGTTGACTCGGTGATATTAGCTAGCGAAGCTGTGTTTGGTTATGCCTCTGCGTTTAAGCGTCTTTATAGTCTAAAGACACTGTCGGAGGCGTTTTTGAAACTACAAATCCAGGCGGATAATCGTCCCCACGTGTGCTTGGAAGACACATTCGCGACGCGAGATGTGGTCCTGTCGTTTTTGCGGAATCCCGAAGACCTAGAAGTGTGGGCTGAAAATGCGAAGGCTAAGTATGACGCACAGCAAGAACAACTCGAAGCTAGAAGGCGTGAAAAGAAAGATCAGAAGCCGAAGAAAGCAGCAAAGCAACAGCCGGCAACTGCAAAACAGCCATCAACATCCCGTGGACCTCTAGGGAATGCGTCCCAGTTGCTGGTTTTTGAGGAATCTTCCGGTATAGAGGGATACGATGGATACGACGAGTCTGAAACACTTCGGTGGTCAGACATCGCAGAGGCTTGCGGATGGCCCCATCCTGATACAGGGTACGATCCCTGGTCAGATTGAAACATTTCTCCGAGATTTAATCGATGCCTTTGTGCATATGTCCGCGGTATCTTGCATGTAATGCTGCGCGGCATCACAATATTTTACAGAGATTTGACTAAGTTTTCTATTTACCTTCCTTCTAATTTCAATTTTCATATGAGGCGCTGTCATGACTTTCTTCTATCTTAATTTTTTGGGAGTGGACATCCTGTAATTTACTGAACTCCGAGGTTTAAGCCTCTTGCCCTTTTGTTTGTCATTTCTTTTTGTTGATTATACTTTTCTTGGAAGATCTACAAGAGATTTAGGGGGCTTTAAGCATGGACTTCCAAGATGTTATACTCAATAATGGTTCTTCACGGCACTATAAATGCTGGAAACTATGATTGGGTGCTAGTTTCAAACCTATGCGGTTTTGGGGAGTTCGTCCGAAGAAGAACCCAAATATCAGGGCACCCGTTGATCGGGTTTCATTCACCGGGTAAGCTAAGCAAAACCCTAACGGCAACACGATAACATCCCCGAGACCCTTGCCTCGGTAGGGCCTCATCAGGGACAATGGCCGTAGGGTTCGGTATCTGATCTGCCACTGATCGCTGCCTCAGCCGGGGACATGCCCCGAGAAGTGGTCCCCTGGCTAACGCTAGTGGTCACTCTGAAACACCGCTGCATTCTACCTATCAAACCGCTAAATCAAGCATGATGTTTTCGATAGAACGATGACCTGGGGCGTTGAGCGACAAAGGATTCCAGTTGAGATGACACTGGATGCCGAAGTATACCCTGTTGGCTGGCATCGGTAGTGCTTTGACTATATATAGACGGCCAATTCATCCCAAGATGCTGTATACCAGAGTACTACTCCAGACTCAGACACAGTCATTCACACACTTAACCGGCTACCATGAACCTCCGCCTGTTGACTCTTGCTCTCGCTACTGTGGCGGCTGCAAGCCCAGTAGACATACAGGAACGCCAGCGTATGTGGGAATCTTACGATAACCTCCCACTTGAGTGAACTTCTCTTGCTAACCATGTTTGGCTTGAGCAGTCTCCGGCGGTAATGAGCTGCGAGATGGCTCTTGCAAGCCGATTACCTTCATCTTTGCCCGTGCTTCCACAGAGCCAGGACTTCTCGTGAGTCCCAACCCTGATCATTACGGTTACGCCAAATACTAACATACTTTCTACTAGGGAATATCAACCGGTCCCGCAGTCTGCAATGGCTTAAAGATGGCCAAAGCAGGCCAAGTAGCTTGCCAGGGTGTTGGACCCAAGTACACGGCAGATCTCCCATCAAATGCTCTGCCTGAGAACACATCCCCAGCTGCCATCCAAGAGGCACAAGACCTGTTCCAGCAGGCCGTCACCAAATGCCCCGACACCCAAATCGTCGCCGGTGGATATAGGTCCGTTGCCCAACCCCAAACTGACCCACCACAACCAACACAGTAGTGTAACTAACTCCAACGAAACAGCCAAGGCACAGCAGTGATGGATGACTCCATCAAGCGCCTGCCAGACAACGTGAAGGAGAAGATCAAGGGTGTCGTGCTCTTCGGCTACACCCGTAACGCGCAAGAACATGGTCAGATCGCCAACTTCCCCAAGGACAAAGTCAAGATCTACTGTGCCATGGGCGACATGGTCTGTGATGGCACGTTAATCGTGGGCCCCGCCCATTTCACTTACCTTGGTAACACCGGCGAAGCAACTCAGTTCCTGCTGGGTAAGCTGAGTGCTTCGTCTTCGTCTTCTTCCGCTTCTTCGGGTACTTCGTCCGCATCGACGTCCGCTGCTGCTGACTCTTCTTCGTCTTCGTCTTCCTCCTCGTCGCCTCCTTTTGGGAACCTTGGTAATCTCTTTGGTGGATTCTAGGTTATGGTTATGACTTGTCACTCTTATGTGTCTGCTTTTTATGTCGCGATAACGTTTTTGATTTTTGGTTTTGGTTTATGCTTTTGAACCTATGTGAACTGGAGTGAGGATTAGATGTTATTGTTTTTGGATATGTTATAACTCACTGAATTGAATTCTGCTTCGAGTATAGCCGTTTAATTCAGCTCACACAGCTTCCCTAGACCTCCCATATAAACACAGAGATGCATCGCAAAGGCCGGCCGGGAGTCTTCTGACAGTGATCTCTTCTAACCGTTATGCGAACAGTATTCATACACTAGAGTTCTTAAAAACTTATCCAAGAACAGCCATTCCTACTCTTTTCCAACCACAAACAGTTCTTCAGTTCCTAGTACCTCTATATCATGCTATATCTAAATTACAACAAAATCTATATTACAATCCTCAGCAACCCCAAGGACAACCACCACCACAGAGCACTCTAGAATTGAATTCCACCACCAAACCCAACCGGCCTCCTCTTGCCCTCATTCTCTGGCACAATAGCCATGAATTTATAAATCTTACCCATACCACCACCCCCCTTCTCCACCAAGCGCTGCCACCCACTTTCCAATGTTTTTCTCTTCTCCTCGTCCTTCTCATGTTTAAGCAACTGCTGCATACGCTCTGCAATGCCCATCGTCTGCAGGAAATCTCCCTGCTCAACAGGCCCATGCACCTCTACCCCCTCACTCCCCTCAATTGCCGCCTCCGCCAACGCCGTGAAATCCACATCAGCACTCACATCCACCTGCCCCGGCGCCGACAACGGCGGAACCTTGCGATGATGCTGGATACCCCGGAGGGAGTTCACAGGAATGGTATTCATAGTCCCATAGTCCATGATCAGGGCCGCGCCCGAGGGGACGCGCTTCGCCGGAGCCGGCTGTGCAGATGCTGCACCCCGGGAACTGGTGCGCGGGGGCTGCGAGGCGCCGCCGATGCGACGGGCAAAATCCGATGCGTAGATGCGGCTTTCGGGGCTGATTTCGATGGTTGAGCCTGCTTGGGATTTTAGGGCGCGGTAGCGCGGGGAGATCTCGGGGATGACGAGGGAGGATGGGGTTGAGGCTTTTGCGAGGGTGAGTTTGAATTCGGGTTCGTTGGGGAGGTTTTCGTCGATTGCTTTCGGGTTCAGGGTGACCATTAGTTCGCGCCATTGAGGGGTGTTGGCGGGTTTGAGGGGTTTGTGGAGTTTTGTTGGGCCGGTGGGTGTCATTATTGTGTCTGCGGATTGCGGGGGTTGGTTTTCTGGGGAGGGGGGGATGGATTCGAAGGCGTGGATGGGGAGGGCATCGAAGAATTCGTGGGCGATTATGAAGGGCGTTTTATCTTCTTCTGTTGGTTTTTTTGGGATGTGTTAGTGGGTGGTTCTTTTTTTGGTTGGAGATGGGGGAGTTGGGTTGGGGGTGCGAACCGTGTGGGAGGAGTCGGATGTCTTCTACCCAGATTACAGGGACGTTGAAGTATTTGCAGGTGCTTTTGTGCCCGATGTCTGTTTCTTCCATTGTGGCGTCGCCGCAGAGACGTTGTTTTTGGACTTCCCTTAGGGTGGGACTGGCTTCGACTAGGTAGATTGCTTCAATGCTTGAGGTGAAACTTTTGAAGTTCCTGAATGTCTGTGATATGACACCAGTGGTCAGTATGGGGTTATTTGCCTCCCTCTATCTTTGCTAGAGAGAGAAGAGAGGATGAGGTAGACTTACACGCAACATATCATCCATCAACGTTCCTTTACCAGGACCAACCTCCATCAACTGCACCCCACTACTCTTTCGTCCCTGCGCCATCCATTCCGCAATCGTCCATATTCCGACTAATTCGCCGAACACCTGCGAAATCTCAGGCGAGGTAACGAAGTCGCCTTTCTTGCCGAATACCTCTCCGTCGCCTGCGGGTCTGGTCGTGTAGTAGCCGCCTTCCGGGGAGGTGAGGACCTGGCGCATGAATGCTGCGATGGGGATGGGTCCTGTTACCTGGGGCGAACGTTAGCTGGTTTCTGATGGGTACTTGGGATTGGTTGGGAGCTGAATACTTTAATAGCATCCGCAAGTGTGCGCGCCAGTGGCGTGGACCATTGTCGGGTTTCATAAGTTGAGGACCATCGCTGTGATGATTTTAGGACGAGTGACCGTTTGGGATGATTCCTGATCAATTGCGTCAGGGCGCGCCGGGCTCCATGGTTCATTTTGGGGCACCGAGCCTTTGAGTCCGTAGATTTCGGATTATCAGGAGGGAGAGTATTAGCTTAGAATTATTAAAGGTTGTATTGGAAGTATGGCTGAAGTATATTGCTTGTTCTCCAAATCTTCTCCGCAAAAGTTCCGATGCACGTGATCGGTCTTATCATATCATATCAGTTTCGCCCAAAAAAAAGTACGATTGTCTATCATTACATCCCGATGTCTTGAATGAAGTAATATAACCGGGAGTGTCCAAACCCGGAATTTCAATTGATATTCTTACATATGACGGTTATTTAAGATCCGAAGATTGAAATGCTGTTATCGAAACACTCGACCGTAATCTACCGCTGCCTCCGGCCCCGGTTATTTCTCGGATTCCGTGGCGGCGCATCGACCATCATTTGATCACTGTAGAGACCCTGCTCGTTTGAATGTAGAGCTTGGTTCATGTTGTTACCCGCGTTTCGATTTCCTCGGAAGTTGCGCCGATTACTGCGGTTCCCGGAGGCATCCTCGCGACCAGTTGCTTGGTTCTGTCCACCGAACCCAAAGCTTCCGTCTTGAACAGCAGAATCCGCTCCACGATGTAACATGCGCTTACGGTTTTCTTGTTCTCGAAGGTCGTTGAAAGAGTTCTGGGCGCCCGCAGAACGCTCGAATAGATCCTGGCCCTGGGATCCGGCGCCGGCTGATTTCAGACGCATCGACAGGATTCTGCCATCCGCCTATATTATGTATTAGTGACGCTGAAAAAACCACCGTATCCGCGTAGCAAACTAACCCTCTGGTTGTGGAAATTGGCAATCGCGCTCTCCGCTGCCCATTTCTCTGCAAACGTCACCTCCGCAGTAACCGTAGGATGCTGCGAGGTAACCCAGCAACGCAAGATATTTCCCGTCACAGGCTCCAAAGCCGATTGAATATCTGCAGCGGTAGTGCCCGGTGCGAAATTGCTTCCGACGACGACAAATGGTCCCGACCCTGCGCCTTTGATGGAAAGGCCGACAGGGCCATCACGAACTGTTGCTTGTCCACTCGCGGGGTTCAAAGCAGACATCAGGCGATCTTCATCGGGGCGACGCTTCTTTCCGGGTTTCGCGTTCGAAGCGGTGACTCGTGCTGGTGCTGACGGCGTCCGGGTGGCCTTTTTAGGCTTGGAGGGGACAGGTGCAGAACGCTAGGTAATAACGCATTGAAATCAGTTCTCTCTGTCGGAGGATGGCGCAATAGTTCGTAATTATCGTTTACCTTGGCTACGCCAATTCGACTTGCCAGACTCCCTTGTGTCGCATGTTGCGCCTTGTTACCGGCGCCCGGAGCGCTCGTCCTTCTGTTCTTTCCCAGGATGCTATTGGCTAGTTCCTCATTCTTTCTCTTTTGGCGATCTTAAAAGAGAGAAGCAATAATTAATAAGTCAATAAAATCAGAAGGAACAGCTTTGGACAACTGGAAGTTTACCAGCTTTAATGATCTCATTGAAGGAGACTGCTTGCTGGCCGGCAGCCATGATGACGGAAGGGACAGAACGCCGATAGCTGGTCGGGCGATTAAGCGGATGGATACTGTAGAGGAAAGGAGTCAAAGAAAAGGTGTAACCAGAATGCCAAAATGTCGAAAGGTAGACCAGCAAAATTCCGGGGACCGAAATTGATCGAGAGGTTGTAAGAAGGATGAGGCTGACCGAAGGAAAGAAAAAGGTTGTATCGAAGCTTTGCGACGGACGTCGGTATTGTATTGTATTGGAAGCTTACTTCAACACGACAACATTATTTGGCGGGTGTGTCACAACACCAGCCGAAACCCTTGGATAGCCACATCACTTGAATTGAGCACTAGATGAGCAAACCAAATCGTGATGCCCCGCTACCTTTCCAGCTCAAAGTCTCTGATTAAGAAGTAGATGATCGAGTTTTTCATAGTCACATCTGTTGGAAATCTCGCAATGCAACAACCACAATATATCCACCATAACTGCTAGTCACGATGCGCCAAAGGGCAAACATTGAGTTGAAGACCTAACGCACCCCACCGATCGCACCTGCTGGCAGTGAATTCCAGTGAATGGATCCTTGCCTGTCCAACCCTACTGCACTTAGTACTACAAGTACTAGTACTAGCAGTATTGCCACACACAATGTCCAATCAACAATGCATGTGGCTGTCTCGTACCTGCCTTGATTGGGATCAAGGACCGCGACCCCTACTTCTTACAGCTGGTGGCCTGTTCAATTCCTGAAGAGGCTTCTCATGTCACAAGGGCCGGTCTCACTCAATCCCTAGATCGCCAATTCTTGGGACTCTTAACGCATACTGAGTCTGCTTGTTTCAGTTGACAATAACATCATGAAAATCAACTTGCCTGATATGGCAACAGACAATCAGGGCTGCAGTGAAAGCAGACGCCGCCAAGTATTCTCATTTTCGGTCACTCTTCGCCCCTCAATAGCAAGAAGAGCCAGGTACACTAGCTGATTCCTTTGCGCGCAACGCGAATCTAATGGCATGCTAGGATTGTAAGACCTCCTGCTCCTCCACCACCATCGTGTGAGGAAAGCGCTCATTATCCGGTCTTTAACCCTCTTGATCCTCGACATAATCCTGCCGTTGTTACATCTTCATGGAATAGGGGTGGCTATTATACCTCTCAGAATACCAACCTCGAAAGCCCGGTAAGCTGGGTACAGAGTCTGTCCAAACGGTCTCTTCGGAGAGCACGCTCAGGACTTATAGCTCTGAGAATGGGAATGCAGAGGCGGGTCTCTATCTTCGGTACAAATCGCACCGCTAATATACCTCGAGCTTGGCCTTCATCTGATGCCACAGAGGGTTCCTCGGACCAGCAGGATGACGCCTCCTTCCCATCAACAATTTCTGAAGCCAGCACAGAGGAAGACTCTGATTTTGGAACTCATCTGCATCGAACAGAGTGCAACGACGCTTCTTCGCTGAGTTGTAATGTGGATAAATGCTTGGACAACTGGCCATTCTCTGTCACGATTACTGATCTCAATCCCTTCCAGGAACTGACTGAAGGATATTGGCCGCCTGGCCTCTTTCTCACCGAGGCGGCACATAGTATCTTTCCGAGGGACTCGACTGAGGGAAATAATGGGTTAGGATTGCAGATTTCGAGGGAACTGACTACTGGGGACTATATCCAATTGGACGACCTTTTCATGAACGAGTCAGATTCTGAATCAGGGGACTCTCTTCCCAGGCTCAGCCGTTCATCCAAGAGCCTCCCTGAACCTGGCTGTTCTCAAATAACAGGTGCCGAGGCCGAGGCCGAGCCCTCGCATTTAACCATCTTGACACCATTGTCCAACAACATACTGGCACCAGCATTCCTTCGAGACCCAAATATCAATGGGAACACCTCTCAGATCATGTCCCCTTTACCTTCCCCCAGCTTGCCTAGAACCCCAACACCAGATGGACAGCCATCTGGCCGATTCTATGCGTCCAGGGCTCCTCAGGTGTCTAACGCTGCGTTGGTAGTGGAGTCCCGTGGACTGATCGATCGAGTCAGCGGCTACAGCGATAATAGTATGAGTAGGATGGAAGGCGAGGTTGAAGATCAAGTCCTAGGACCAGCCATTTACCACGAGTCTTCCCCAGACCTACAAGCAGAGCCTAGCCACTCAGATTGTCAATCAACCACAGAAGACGCCCAGACACAAGATATCCCCGAATCCGGGACAAATGACAACCTATCAAGCGACCCGGTTTGCGCAGCGCCAACTTCAAGCTTGGGTCTCGCAGATGCGACATCTGAAATGCACACCGATGATGATCATCATTCTCCGCCGCATCCATCAGGCGACTCAGGTGGGTTGGGGTGTAGCGACTTTACAGGGGAACAAACACCATGGTCAGCCCGCCCCAGCGAAGAGGTTACGGTAACGGACTTCACATCTGTGTCGAATAATCTATGGACGCCTATCGAAAATGGTGATCTTGCATCATTGCTATCCTTCACAGACGAATACTTTTTCGTTGATGGCAAAACCAGTGGTCACCCCGATAGGGGAGATAATCCTACAAAGACAGAACGGAGCATCATCAGCGATGGAAGCTTGTATAATGAACTAGGTCACGATCGTAGCCCATCAGCGGGAACGCTAGATGTTCCAGAGATAATTGGACCCGGGAGACCTATCCATATTCAACCCCCTCGGCCATATCGAGTAGAGCGAGATGCTAGTGACGACTCCGTCGATGAATATCTTCTCACGTATCCAATGTATCAACGACGCTATTTCCCTTGATGCTTGACGGCCTCAACCGTTCATCTACCGTTCTGACTGCGTACAATCGTTCAGTGGTAATTTTTGTACGGAAGCATATGCTGTACGGCCATTGGAATATGTATGAACTGCATTGTTAAAGGGATTCATATACTTATCTTCCAGCCCAGCGGTTTATAATTTGGCTTTGAGGCGTTTTTCAAAGTTGCCACTCCTTTACGACCCAGTCTTGTTGGTATAGCCACCATTTCCGATTAGAGAATTGGATATTGTGGGACCGGAGGATTCTACAAGCCAACGAAGGACTCCAATATTATATGAATATTCCAACTTCCGTGACTTCGTTATGTGCACAGGCCAGGTAATAATCATCCCAAGCGTAGAGTAAAACCTGCCCCAGTTTCCCCACTGTCACCACTTGACTGGCCGCCAAATACGCTGGCAAAGTCAAGTCTGGGAGCCTCCTGGCCTCGCTTTGGTGCTTCGGGCGTCTGCCGTCGCCTCCGTTTCTCCATTCCTGCTTTCGACGGGAACGTAGGAAACATCTCCTTCGGCTTTGGACGGGGGTCTTCACGGAAATACGGATGCGAAAGACATTCCTGCGTCGTCGGTCGCGAGCTTGGATTCAAGGCCAGGAGCGAAGAAAGCAGCTGGAGACCGGCATTTGTCAAAAAGGGAAACTTTGAACGTGGCAGAAGAGGCGGGTTCCCCGATGGAGCTGAAGTCTGCGGAAGACGGAGAGACTTCGCATTGGGAAGAGAACGAAAGCCAGGCCATGTCTGTGGTGTCGGGGGGCCAGTCAAAGCAAAGATCTAATTCCCATCAGTACGAATTTAACGGTATTTACCGCCACGGAGATTCAGGGAAATGAAGTATAACCCGTACCTTAGACACCTGATCAACCTCATTCTTTCCCTGCAGCAGGGGCTCCTTGGTGAGCAATTCCCCGAAGATGCACCCGATACTCCACATATCAATTTCAGTGCCGTACTTCTCCGCTCCCAGCAACAGCTCCGGGGATCGATACCATAGCGTCACGACCAGCTGCGTCAACTTTGGTGGCGGATCGCCATAGTACCGGGCCATACCGAAATCGGCGATCTTGATTTCGCCCCGGTTGTTCATTAAAAGGTTTGAGGTCTTCAGGTCACGGTGCATGATCCATTGGGAGTGGAGAAAGTCGAGACCCGAGAGGACCTGGGAGAGGAGAGTTTTGATTTCCGATGGGAGGAATGGCTCTCGCATGTCGTCGAGGAGCGTCTTCAGGTCGTGTTCGAGAAAGTCCATGACTAGGAAAACACTGTTTTATGCGGTGATCGGGGGCAGGAGGGTTTGTCCTCGCACCCCCGGGCTTTGGGGTTAATTTTCTGTATCTGAACTTTCCAGGTCCTGGGGGGATAGGGAGTGCGAAGGGGTGAATTGGCTTTGATACAGAAGGGGGGAAACGCACTCATCCATTTTAGTTCCGATGACGATTTCACGGAGAAAGACAATATTTGGATGACGAGCCTCCAAGAGGGTTTGAATCTCCCGTAAGCCCGTTACGGGGAATCCATCCGGGGAGTTGTCCATCTTGAGCTTTTTGAGGGCGACTATTTCGCCCGTTGTGATATCCTTGGCTCTACTCACCCATCCGTATGAGCCCTCCTCTATATGATTCAATCGCTCGAAGTTGTCCACATGCCGACTGGGACCCCATTCCTGGGTAGGGAACTGTAGTATATTCGATGGGTTTTCTTGTGGTTTGGATGGTTCAACCTGGACGTCGGTCGTGGTGGTGTCGGGATCATTGGAGAGTCGGCGACGTTTCTTGGGAGGTGCTTCTGTGTCATTGTTTGCGGCTTCGCGTTGTCGGGCAGCTTCTTCGGCCTGTTGCTGCTCGAGCTGACGTTGTTTCTCGGCTTTGGCGCGTCGTTTCTCTTCCTTTTCGCGTTTGCGTTGCGCAATGATCGCTTCGGCTTCTGGGTCTTCATCCGCCCAGCGGGATTTGGAAGACATCTTTCTGCAATTGGAGGGGGGTGATTAAGATTATTAATTCGATACTGGAGTGTGATGGAAGCTCCGGAGTCGGGAAGCTTCCATGTGGAGGTTGGTTTCGGACTTGCGTGCCTGAGGTTCTCGGAAACGGTAATTTAATTGGAGGGATGACGCTATCAGCATTTCGATGCCGATTTCAAATCCCCCGCTTTGTTCCGCGGGGCTTCTGCTATTTTTTTTCTTTCTACACGGTTATTTATTAATCTCTGTGACTCAACGATTGTTACGATTTTTATATACCTGATTCCATCTTGCTATATTCTTTGCGCGGCGAGTGATTCACGTCCCAAACGTACACCATGATTGAACCCTTCCAGGTCAGTTTGTTCCGCTCTATACCGTGGATAGCAAGTATATTATAAATCAGGGCTAAATGTTCAATCAGACCACCTTCGCGGTCCCAATGACCTGCGAGGGCTGCGTGAAAGATATCTCCAGTACCCTAAACAAGCTCGACGGTATTTAATTTTCCTCGTCTCATAGATTGTCTGTTTGTCCGGGCTAATTGGTTGGCGTCGTTCCCCAGGAATCAACAAAGTCGATGCCAGTCTGAAAGACCAGCTCGTATTTATCGAAGGCACGGCGCCACCCAGTTCCATCGTTTCCGCGATTCAGGCTACGGGCCGTGATGCGATTCTACGGGGTAGTGGGACCTCCAACAGTACGTCTCTCTCCGTTCATCCTTGTTTCATTTGCCGCCGGGCATCTGCCTGGTCCTTGGGGCTGTGCTAAGATTCACTCACCAGGTTCCGCTGTTTGCATTCTGGAGACGCATGCGAATTCGGTCCCGAATAAGATCCGTGGATTGGCGCGTATGGTGCAGGTCTCGTCCAACATGACGCTTGTAGATCTGACCATTAACGGGCTGGCGCCGGGCAAATACTGGGCAACAGTGCGCGAGGCCGGAGATATTTCACAGGGAGCCGCGTCTACCGGAGGCATCTGGGAGGCATTGAAGGCTACGGTGTTGGGATCGGAGGCGTCCAAGGAGCCACGCGGAGTGTTTGGGACGGTGGATGTGGACGAGAAGGGACGAGGCAATGTCTTCTTGGACCGACCATTGGCTGTTTGGGAAATGATTGGACGGAGTATGGTGGTGTCGAAGAGCAAAGAGGGTCCATTCCGAAAGGAAGACCCGGATACATTGGTTGGGGTGATTGCTCGGAGTGCGGGTGTGTGGGATAATGATAAGATGGTGTGTTCCTGCTCCGGGAAGAATGTGTGGCAGGAGCGTCAGGAACAGGTATCTCAGGGGATGGTTTAAGTTTTATTCTTTTTTTTTTTTCTCCCTTTCTATTTTTTGGGCATCTATTTGACGCCCCTTCTGACCCATTCACACATTGACTTTGTGACTGGAGAGGCGGGAGCTGCTCTAACTTTTCTTATTTTTTAAGTTGTGATACCTACTTGTCGTGAGATGATGTCAGTGATGTGTCGTATGTGAATGAATCTGCATGAGGCTAGACGTGATGCTGTTGGGACCTAAATTGTTAGACGAACGGGCAGGATTGTGATTCCATTAAATCCATCGATCAGTGCGCTGGAAGTGGAACTATAGATAGACGGTGAAGGAGGAGAAAAGACACCTAGGGTATCAACTCACCACCTGATCATAGTAAGTAAGTAGTGGAAAATAGTGGGTAAAAAAAAAAAGGAAAGGGCTAATATAAATTCCACGACGGAAACCCCGCTATTGGATGTAAGGACATAAAATTGCAACGGTCACGAAGCATCGTTGGATCCTGCCACGCGTGATTATCTAAATAAATTTCCTGCGTTAAATCAATGCTCGGCAAGGAATTCCAGGCGGAATTGTGCTAGTTGACGGAAATTGATTGATAGAAAGTGAGGGATTGAGTCGAAGCGCCGTGGCGGGGCGACAAAGTATATTCTTGCCAATCTCATATCAGGTTTCCTCGGAGTATTTCTCATTCGTTTGCGGGACAGCAGTCGCGAAGGGAATTCATTGAGTAACGATCTTATGATCTGGTCGGGTACTAGCACTTAACAATCTTCCATAGGATTGTTGTACGTACTGCACCTCGGGAGGGTGTTATTAATCAATGAGAACATTCCCTGTGTTGTTCGAATCTCCGCCATGGCTTGTCGGGACGGCCTTTTAATATATCCAATACTACAGTACAGCTACTAGTAGTAGTACTAGTAGTAGGTATAGTAAATAGTATGCCAGGTAAAGGAATAATAGAAATGAATTAGTATGAAAAAAAAAGGTGTGAATATTGCGGTGGTCACCAATGAAGGAGGTGGATTGAGGGATCTTCCCTGCAATGTGATGAAGTTTCCCCTGCAGGGGACCAATCAGCAACCCGGATCCCAGCTAGGGATCCCAGTCGTTGCAGCTGCAGCCATTCAGGTCAACGCTTGCTTGACGCCCCTCGCCAGGAACTTCAACTGGCTGGTCAAATTGAATGGGGGGTTTATTTTTATATTCGCGACTCCCTTGGCAGTCCTTCGTCCTTCCCCTCCTTTCTGCCCTTCGGCGCTTCGAATCGGATCTATTGGTACTCCTAACTATCTAAGTATAGTATCGACCACTTTCAATGCTTTGCCTTGCTGCTGCATACTCTGCACGCTAGTCTTCATATGTGCTCTCTGCCACGGATTTTCCCTGTCCTTGCCTTTTTTTTTTTTTTTTCCGTTCCCAGCTGGGTGAATCTGCTCTCCTTGACTTCATACATCTTATAGTGGCCACTTCATAGACTCAAGGTTCTCGACTGCACATAATACTATCGATAGAAGCCGTGAAGAATACTCACCAGGGTAGACGAATTGATCTAGCCACCGCATTATCTATCTATCATCCTTGCGTCTGCTTGTCATAGTCACTAGTTGGCCATTCAACGACCCTGGTCACCCATGATCTAAATATATATCCGATCTATCTCCCCACCAAACCAGACTAACTCCTCTGCATTACCGTACGCTTGGACTATCACTGGCTCCATCGCGGGACAATACTCCCT